CTTTACATCCCGATCCGATACAATGCTGGCAGGCACTCCGTGCAGTCTAACAATCTCACTGATATACATCTCTGCCAACTGCTCAGCTCTGTCTGTCTTCTTAACTGCGAGGAAATGAGCTGACTTGGTGAGTCTATCCACGATTACCCATATGGCATTCTTTCCTCCTATGGTGGTCGGCAAACCCGTCACAAAATCCGTAGTCACCATGTCCCATTTCCACTCTGGTAATGGCAGGTTTTGCAATAACCCGCTAGGAACCTGATGCTCCGCCTTAACCATCTGACAAGTCTGGCACTGCGATACAAAAGTAGCAACGTCCCTCTTCATACCCGGCCAATGATAATAGCGCTTCAGATCTCTGTACATCTTAGTGTTTCCTGGATGAATAGAGAAACTCGAGTGATGTGCTTGCTTCAAGATCTCCTTCCTCAACTGCTCATCATCTGGTACACAAACTCGGTTTCGGAACATAAACATCCCACTCGAAGCTGTGTGATACCCGATACTCTCGATCTCAATCTGCTTACACAATGCCTCATCAACATCCTGAGCTCTGCGTATCCTCCAAAGTAAATCTGCCCGCTCAACTGCCTCGAGACCAGCTGTCTCTCCATCAACCGTAGTAGCACACAATCTGAGACTTGCGAGTGTACCAGCAAGCTCCTGAACCTCTCTGGTCCCTGAAACATCACTCCTGCGTCTACTCAAAGCATCTGCCACCTGATTAGCTTTCCCTGGATGATAAGCGATATCCAAATTGTAATCTGCCAACAACTCAATCCATCTGCGCTGCCTTAAGTTCAAGTCCGTCTGAGTGGAGATGTATTTTAAACTCTTGTGGTCCGTGAAAATTTTCACCTTCTCACCATACAAGTACGATCTCCAAATCTTCAACGCAAATACAACTGCTGCTAACTCCAAGTCGTGTGTAGGGTAATTAGCCTCGTGAGGTCTCAACTGACGTGACGCATAAGCAATGACCTGACCCTCCTGCATCAATACACAACCCAATCCAGTACCCGACGCATCAGTGTAAACCTCATATGGTATCCCAGGCCTCGGAAGTACCAATACCGGCGTCTGCGTTAGCTGTCGCTTCAACTCCATGAAACTTTTGGAGCAATCATCAGTCCAATCAAACTTAACATCCTTGCCCGTTAGTCTCGTCATCGGTTTTGCAATGCTGGCAAAACCCTTAACAAAGTTCCTGTAGTACCCAGCCAAACCGAGAAAACTGCGAATCTCTGTAGCACTCTTAGGCGTTGGCCACTCTGAAATAGCAGCAATCTTCTCTGGATCTACTGCGACTCCTGCCTCTGAAACAACGTGACCAAGAAATCCAATCTTCCTCTGCCAGAAGCTGCACTTGCTCAACTTAGCAAACAACTGATGCTGTCTCAGCTTTCCCAATACAATCCGCAAATGCTCTGCATGCTCCTCTCGGCTCCGAGAATAAACCAAAATGTCGTCGATGAACACGATCACACACTTATCCAAATGCTCACGAAACACATCATTCATCAGCTTCATGAATGCTGCTGGTGCGTTCGTCAATCCGAATGGCATCACAACAAACTCATAATGACCATAGCGCGTACGAAAAGCCGTCTTCTGCACATCTCCTTCGGCTATGGCAATCTGATGGTAACCCGACGCCAAGTCAATCTTAGAGAACCATGAAGCTCCCTGCAACTGATCCAACAACTCGTCAATACGCGGCAGCGGGTACTTGTTCTTGATAGTCACCTTGTTCAAACCCCTGTAGTCGATACAAAGTCTGAAACTCCCATCTTTCTTCTTCACAAATAATACCGGTGCTCCCCATGGTGAAGTACTCGGTCTGATGAAACCCTTATCTAATAGCTCTTCCAACTGCTTCTTCAACTCAGCCATCTCTGTTGGTGCTAACCGATAAGGAGCTCGGGAAACCAGTGCTGCTCCCGGTTCCACCTCGATAGTCAAAACATCACTTCTAGCTGGTGGTGGCCCTTTTAAGGCCTCAAAAACATCCTCAAACTCAGCAACCACTGGAATATCATGCAAATCTTGCTGACCATCCTCATTAACCATCGAAATAGTTGCCAAAAACCCTTCGGCTCCTCTCTCCAACAACTCCTCAGCACGTAACATGGAAACGATGGAAACTCCTTGGTATGTCTGCATCCCCTGAAAATTGATACTTCCTTCCGGTCTAGGAATGCTAACTCTTGCCTTCGGACAATCCAAGATTACGTGATGTCGCGTCAACCAATCCATCCCGAGTA